GGGGGGGGGGGGGGGGGGGGGGGGGGGGGGGGGGGGGGGGGGGGGGGGGGGGGGGTGCGGTCTTTTGGTGCGGCCGGCGATGCGGGAGCCGCAGTGGCGAGCCGGGGAAGTCCCTGCGATGCCAAAAGTCAGGGGGAGTGTATTCAGCGGCAAACGGGGTTCCATAAAAAGGCTAGACTTCACCGATCACCCATGGCCGTGTAGCTCAATTGGATAGAGCACCTGACTACGGATCAGGAGGTTGTGTGTTCGAGCCGCATCATGGTCACTTACCTTTTTGATCCCCGAGGCCGCATGGCGCCAAAAAAGGATGCCCCTCGGACGAAAAATATATTCCCATACCGGGACTCGAACCCGGGTCTCGTGGGTGAGAGCCACGTATCCTAACCACCTAGACTATATGGGACGCCTTATTCCAAGACACCCGGGATGGGTATTTATCCCCATGTAACCATAATGTCACCTCCGACATGGCGTCGGAACTTCGCTCCGCTCACCTCCTCCGCACCTGCCTCACCTCGCCCTGCTCTGTTTTCCCCCTGCTGCCACATCCCTGCTAGATCTGGTCATGACCTTCACGTGATCGTATAGCAACGAGGTCCACTAGTCGACCTGCACTTCCCCGTTGGGGGGTGCTGGCGTCGCCCGAACGGCGACGCCACCCATTCTCTCTCAATTCCCATGTATTCCCATGTATTCCCCCTTTTCTGGGCACCCTATATAAGGGGCCCCCGTTCCTGCCTCCCCTCCAAGGACTCAGCACCTTGAAGGATAGTCATTCTCTCTTACGGAGGTTTGATTTCCTATAGTCCTGTCTCCGTACGTCGCTCCCTCTGGAGCGGTGTGACCTAGTCCCTGATGTAATCCCCATAAAGACGCAGATCACCAGCTTTCCCTTCTTTTGTTGTTGTATTCATGTCCGAGTGGTGACCCTCTCGGGACGGAACGCTCTGGGTGGTTCAGGGAAGGCCCTCACCGGTCCCCCAGAATCACATACCAGAACCGGAGCGTTTCACCCCACCTTTGATTGGGCGCCGGCCGACGCCCCCCACCCCCGCCAGGCTAAGGGGCAGGCGAATCTCCGTGCATCGGCCGGGGGCCGGGTCGTCATGTCCGACCGGGGAACGTGGCCCGGCACAGCCCACGCGCTTTTGCCCGTCCTTTCCCCGAGAGACCCCTCTCCGCCGGACCGTGGGGAATCTGCTGGCGGCCGGGTAAAAGGGCGCCCCGCCCGAAGTCAAGGGCGATGGCGTGGAAGAAAATGTGCCCCTTTAAAAAAGTCGCCTGCTCCGTTGCCGGCCCCTCGGCGGTACGCGCAGGCTTTGCACACGGCGCGCCCAGGAGAGCGCAACAGCGCCCTCGGACGCTTGCCCTGTGTCCAAAGCTTGCCGAAGAACCAAAAAAGATGAAGATAGCCCACTGTGGGGCTCGAACCCACGACCCTGGGATTAAGAGTCCCATGCTCTACCAACTGAGCTAAACAGGCTAACGTGAAGGCAAGAGACACCTCTGGCAATAAATCCCCACCGGCGAGGCGGCAGACCGGCTGGCAGACAATCTACACACACCCGAGAGAGAGAGAGAGAGAGAGAGAGAGAGAGAGAGAGAGACGGCCGGGGGGCCGAGGTGGCCAGCGGGACGCGTCGCGGAGCCAGGCAAGAAAAGGAGCCCTCTTTCGTCGCGCAGTCGGTGAAGCAGGCCACCCAGAAGGCGGCCATGTCTGCCTGGCCAGCGGCGCATGCCCGCGCTGGGACTGTGGCGGGGGGTGTCCACTCCCCCGAGGCAAAGAGCGACCATGCTCCGGCCGCGAGGGAGATGGCCAGCTTGATGGTCTGCGATCGGGGGCCAGGGGGAGGAGGGCGCCGAGTCCTGGCGCATGCGTGGGATGGCATGCACGAGGATCCCCGAGCGGTCCACGGGCCCGGGGGCCGCGCGAGCCGACCGCCAGTCGAGGGGCTCCCGTCGACATGGATGGCCACGCCCGGGCCTCCGGGCATTCGCCGATTGCTGTCCCGGCAAACGGCGCCCCGTGCCTGCCAATCGATGGGGATGTCGGGTGCGGGAGCGTGCACCAGGGGACCGTGGCTGCGGGACATCGGCTTGGCAGCTGGTTGGGGGAGGTGCCGCTGATGTCGAGGTGCGATGCCGGCCACAGCACAAATGCCCGTAGGATGTGATACATGTGCCTCGTCAAAGGGGGGGAGGGGGGCCAGAAACACGGAGTTGCCCAGCAGGGGGTGGGCGAATGCAGGGCCTGATCATGGCCGTCGACGGTGCGCCTCAAGGAGCAGGACGCCCTCTGCCCGAGGAACATACCCGCCACCGGTGGCTGGCCGAGGGGGCGCTCCATCCGAGACAGCCCCCCCGGGGCTTGGGCTGCCGGTCGTGGGGGCAATAGTCCACGCACGCTGGATATCCGGCTTTCACAGGGCGACCCGTGGCGCGGCGATCAGCGGACACAGCTCGGCGAGGGACGGGGCCGTGTCCGAGCGCTGCTCTACGATGGGGCATGCAGGACTCGGTGCCGCGCGCCAAATGGGCGAGCCCCCGTGCCGTGCCATGTCGCAGCATCCCCACGCCCGGAGCCGGGCCTGGCCGGGTGCGCATTCCCTCGTCTCGGAGGGTGAGCGCGATGTGGCTCCAGCTCGGGGCACCCGCCCCCGGGCCCGGTCTCCATGGCTTAGCCGGGGGCCGCTGAAGCGCAACAGTCCCGCCAAGGGATTCGGGGAATGGTGCCCTGGGTGCCGGGCGGCTTTGTGCTGCTCCCCTTGCCCTGCCTGGCGGCGGGCAGTACGGGTGCCGGCGGCTTTGGCAGATCATCCAATGATGCCCTTCGGATCCTTGCGGCCGGGGGCCCGATTGCAGCCCCCCCCCCCGGCGCCCGGAGCACCACATTCCACCCGCGGGCAACCCTCGGGCCCGTGTGGCCATGCACCAGACATTGAGGCAGCCAGAAGCCAAGCACAGATCGCCCGGGCCGGCCGGGGTCCATGAGATCTGGTCATCACCGGGGACGCCGAGGTGCTGCGAAGTGCAACCAGCGTGTCACGCACCGTCGGATCTTTGGGCCGCCGCCCTGCCCCTGCTCGGTTCTCGACTGCCGTCACCTCGCTCGATCAGAGGAGGCCACGCCCTCGACGCAATCCCGTAGCAGGGGGATCCATCTCCCGCCCTGCCCTCCCCCTGCCGAAGGCCGGTGCGGGCGTCGACCTTCACAGCCCACGCGACCCACGTCATTGCATGGCCCCTTTCCTTCTCCGTGTGTCGCCTCTCCCCCGGGTACCCCGGAAAAGGGGCCTCCTTTTGTCGCCTCCCGTCCAGGAGCACAGCACCTGAAGGATGGTCATTCTCCCCTGGCGGGGGGGGGGGGGGGGCCGTGGGACTCAGTCCCCGATGCCCTTCATACCAAGATGCAGATCGCCCGCTATCTTATTTTTTGTTGATTTTTTTTTGCGAACCGAGAGGGTCACCTCTCGGGGAGCAGGGCGCTGCCGGTGGCTCACGGCGGCCCTCGGCCGGCCCCCGCTTGCGGGGCATGTCGGAGTCGGAGCACGACCGGGGTGCCAAAAAGACCGGTTAAATGCCACTCCCGGGCCGGCTGGTTCCCAGAAGACGCGGCTGTGGTCAAGTGGTAAGATGCTTCCCTCCCAAGGAAGAGATCCAGGGTTCGAACCCCTGCTGTCGCACTCCCTTCTTTTTGATCCGGATA